ATGTCATAACTTTGAATCGACACCCAGAGGAAAACATTTATATTAATAACCCAACTGAGGTTGTGACACTAATTAGGAAATAACAGAAATCTTTTGTCTGGAGTACAGCTTCATTCTGGACTCCGTGCCGCTGGGCACTAAACTACCCAAGCTTCAGAATGTACTCATTCAGTGTATACCTGTACCGAATTAACTCTCAACTACAGGTATATTAATATCGATGTATTTAGTCAGGTAATAAGGACAAAGGTGGAGACGAAATTCACTATTTGTTTAAATCAGCGATTTTATTGGCAAAAAAACTACAAGTCAATACTATATATCAGTCCAAATCAGCATTGCAATGTACGTTTATAAAAAGGGTTAGCCCCGGGAAGCTTGAAATCATACTAAAAGTCAAACGAGTAATATGCTTATTTAACCTTATTATTTGTTATTATACTACATGTATAGGATTTGTTTATAGACTGTATAGTCCTACATACCATATACTATACATCACGTTTAACATTTCCACGCGATACCTATTCTCCTTGGATATCATACTCTTATTTGATGTAATTGTATTTGACTTATTGTTATGAAAATACATCAGAGAATAAATAAAAATCAATAATGATGATAAAAATCCAATGTTTAACAGGTACACAAAGTAGTACGTATATTTAAGTTATCTGCTTGGGAACAGTGAATCTACTCTTAATAAATCCATGTCAAATTTATTAACATATATTAGAGTCTTTTACGCGCAAAGTTATATGAATGTATCACCATGCATGGAATTATTCCAATTCCGTGGGCTTTTAATATCTAATTTTAAACATGAAATATTACAGCAACATCTATGTTATGTCATTCCCTGGTCTTTCTTTATATGACTTATGATGTCATAGCATCCACCCTCAAGTTAATTGAATAATTATTACTATTTTTATGTTTACCATATTTCAAGAATCTATCAAATGTGTGTACCGTACCTGACTGCGGTCACAGGAACCAGAAAATTTGCTATGCCTATTTTGAGACTACCAACGAACAGGGGTTTTATGGAAGACCCGGCAATAACAACCACAACACAAGTGCAGGCACGGTGAATATTGTCAGCTCTAGAGGATTCAGTGGGGTGGGCCAGGATGAAGTTCGAACCAAGGAAAGAAGTTTGGTCATCAAGAGAGGGAAAGTGACGGGGAAGTTCAATTATGATCCAGCAGGAAAATATCCCAATGAAAGTTGACAATCCGAGTAAGTGCTTGGGGAAGTGGTTTGACGCAAGGTTGAATGACAGCAAGATCATCAAACGGCTGCAGACCCAGGAGGAGGAGACTGCCAAGACAACAACTCACCAGGGAGGGATTTCGGATGGGGCTCAGACTTGGGAAATGCGGGTGGACTTTGGGCGAAGACTGGTCTTCCAAGACATCGTCAAAACCATGCTACGCCCGGGTAGATGATCATGGTAGAGTTGACCGTTCCCTGGGAAGAACGATGCGAGGAGGCGCACGAGCTCAAGATGGGAAAGTACGCCAGTATTGGTGATGATGTGCAAAGGGATGGAGTGTTTGGGTCTTCCCTGTCGAGATGAGATGGAGTGTTTGGGTCTTCCCTGTCGAGATGGGATGCCGGGGATTCCCGGCACAATCCATGTGGCGGATGTACACGCATTGGGCATCAGGCCGGGGAAGAGACAGAAGGGTTTATATCGAGAACACGCCCTGCGGGGTACCTGGAGTCGGGTTATAACGGTTTCAGTTTTCAGATTCTTTATTACACTCTTGACACACTTGTGTGTGTAACAAGCTAGAGGTCAAAAATTCAAAACAACATACACGGCAGACAGGGTAATACAGTTATGAAATTCATTGTAACATATGAGTAACTCACTCAACAATAATAATGATTAATTGCAAATTATAAGCATGTAAATGTAATAAATAACAAATTTATGCAATTTTAGAATAAACTGCAATGACAATAATCAGCGTGAAATACATAGGTTTTCTACATTTTTAAGAAAATAGCTCACTCTGGATAATAAGGGTCGATTACAAATTTCAAACAAACGTCTCATTTCAGCTAAACTTGGATTTATAAAAAAAAGTAATGTGCGATGTATTTATGTCTATAATTAGTTATCGTAGCATTATTACATTGAAATAGATAGTGGTATTCATCCCCAATACCATTATTACATAGCAAACAAGTACGATTATTACGTGGTATACCAACCCATCTACCAGTTTCAATGAAGTTCGACATTCTAAATTTGCTGATAACTATATGTTCGCTGGAATTAAGCTTAACTAGATATGATTCAAAATTAAACTGGCTTTTAAAGATAGAGTAGAACTGTCCACGAGACGAAGAGTCAATAGTAGAGAACCAATTTTGAATAAATTAATCACATAAACGTTTTTTAAGCAAATTTTTGAAGAGTGATCTATTCATTGTCGTGTGTTTTGGTATATCCAAATATTAGTAAACCCAGTGTTATTAAGTAATGATTTTATATATCCAAGTCATTTAAATTCTGCAGTATTATTTTCTTGCATTTTTAGTATTAGGCGATAGAATACACTAGATAGCTTATCTCCCCCTGTTATTAATTTATGCCAAAACATTAGCATTCTAACTTTAATTTCTATTTCTAATGGAAATTTGCCCAGTTCGCCATACACCAAATTTGGTGTACTACTCCGAACATGTAAAATGTTCTTGCAGGTAAATATTTTCAATGATACTTACATTCTCAAATCTCCAGATTTCACATGCATAGAGTAAAATTGGAAAGACTAGCGAATCAAACAATTTAAGTTGTAAGTCAATAGATAAAGGAATATTTCTAATTTTGGTATACACTGCAAACAATGCTTTCTTTGCCTTGTTAGCTAACTGGGTTTTTTTTTTTGTTTGTTTAAACGAATGATCCATTATAATTAAACAATATTCCGAGATAAGGGGGAGAATCATCACGAGTTATTGGATCATTAAATAGTGTAAAATTAAATCGCCGTCTGCTTTTCCGTTTTTCAAAAATTACTATTTTTGTCTATTTGGTATTAATGATAACGAGGAGACGCCCTGCGGGATACCTGGCTTGGAAATATATCGAGAACACACCCTGCGGGGTACCTAGCTGGAGTGGTCTTATATCGAGGACACACCCTGCGGGGTACCTGGAGACAGAGACGTATAATACATGTAATACGTCTCTGCTTGAGAGGACCGATGTGAAGGCTTCAGAGGCTTCAGTGGCCTAGGCTACATTAATAATATGTCCGCAAATTTTCAGAAATAATTAGATTCTATCTCCGGAAAATAAACGTCTTGGGATTCAAGCTGATCATATATACACTGTATTATGTGAAAAAATGACCATTGACAGATTACTTTGAAAAAGAATAAACATGTACATGTAAAATTTTCACAAAATGACTGGTAAAGATAATCGTACAATTGACATATTGCACTCGATATCCGAATCGATGGTTATCTACGAGGTACATACAGAGAATATGATTTGAGCTAATTGGTGTGAACAACCAATTAAGTCTTGATTAAAATGCTTGTAAAAATAACTTTGATACCGTTAATTTGCACGAAGTGATTAGTTAACTGACAAAGAATTAAGTTATTTGTGGAATGACACTGATGATGGGATACATGGATATATATATTTAAGGTGTTACAATATAAAAATATTACAAATTCGGCGGCCATTTTGAAAATATGTATTAAAGTGTATTTCTTGCGCTTCAAAAAAGGCAAAAATTTCACCTTTTTTGACACTAGATTGATCTCTTAAATTGTCATTGTGTCGCCATTTTGAATTGTAGCAGGTTCAATTTTGCTGTGCAACTTTATAATGTTTAATATGATATAAAAATATGCAACAAACTGGAAAATTATACATTGTTGCTTTTTTTGTTGTTACATATTTAGTGTGACCACGGAATTAGATTAGATTGTTATCTAAGTCCGCGGTGTAACTGAAGCACTTTTGATTTTTGACCCCGAAAAAGGTAAAAAAATAACAAATGATAATGGGACAAAAAAAGAAGCACACGGACCCCCAATTTTTGTGGATGTTTTAGAAAGAGAAATACATTTTCTTTTAATTCATTAAATATTAAAAAAAAAAAAATAGCAGAACTTTTTATATCAAGTGTTTAATCTGCAAAAAATGGTAAAAAAATATCATTAAAAAATAGGGGGTAGGGGTAACAAAATTGGCTTTCTGAGTTAAAAGGATAAGATTAAGAAATTTTACTTCCACAATTTTGATTAAAATAATATTTTTATCAATTCTCACACTTGGAAGAAGTTGTATGAATTTGTTCTGCAAATGGTCAAAACCCCCAAAATCACCTAAAATCGCACGTGTGTTAAATCAGGGACGTATAGTCTATATACTGTCCCTGGTTAAATTGGTATCTTTGACTGAGCATAACACAAAAACGAACACACGGACATATAATTGTTTTTGCATTTTCTACTATGCCATTAACTCCTTTTTCCAAAAATCTATAGAAGAAAAAAAGTTTAATACAGGAATTGTTTGACTTCTCAGAGGTGTACATCCTTAAGCTCACTGGTCTTTAAATATATTTAAATAACCGTCTCGGATAACAATTGTCATGTTTCAAAAATCCTTTGAATCATGGTGCTTGCCCCCCGTCACCGTCATCATCAAGGCCCTGCCCAGGCCGTTCGGTTAAAAGTGCATGTGAACTAAAAAATGACCTAACCTCATACATCAATAATTATATGTCTGAAAAGCATTCCAAATTAAGTTGTAAACATTTTTTGAACTCTTATATAAATGATATAATCAGCAACTATACGTTACAGACCCACAGAACTAAGTAAAATCAAGGTAAAACCTGGCAAGGGTATGGAACAAACAGGTGGGGATCGATGTGCCGTGCCCATGCAGTGATTCCAGTGTATGACTAAGGGTGGATAACTCTAATATTTATCTTGACAAATTCATCAAATGTCATTCAACATGGCGTCTGCCTGTGCCCTGGAATGGGTACCAGATTCCTTATACAACACAGCAGTTTCAGCCATTGTAGCTTCATATTACCGGTACAAAAGGGACATAAAGGCATTACCAGAGAATGTCCAGTTTGATATTTACTACAAGGTACGTAATGAAGCTTTTCTTTAGCCAGGGATAAACCGTGGTTCTCACCCGTTTCGTCAGCAAGTTTCGATGAAATGTCAGCTCGCTATGTAAAAAGGAGCATGAATCATTCCGATAAGAATTTTTAGTTAATATTATTGATGCTACTTAGGAACATCCAAGCATACGTTCTTCCTTACGGTAAGATAAGATGTCCGGTATGACGTTTTAGTGATATAAGAAAAGCTTACCAGGCTGAAAATAGACCAAATGTCATTCTTGTTGTCACCATGATCACTATTCTAGCTTACAGTACGGTATTCTGGTATAACAAAATGACTCAGATACGTTGACGGCAACTTTTTACGTGAATACAATATACCACCATACATGTATACAGCTGTATATAATAGAGCTGACAGCAGAGGAAATGTAAACATACTGTATTCAGAAAAAAATAATGTTCAATTCAGTTGATTTATTTGGTATTTAACAAACACAACACACACTTACTTTAATTGAAACAGGAGCGAAAAATGCATGGCCAGACCGGGGTTGGAACTCTGAACTGTAGATGGCTGATGCTCTACCAATTCAGTAACCCGGTCGCTGCAATGATTGAACCATGCAGTCGTGTGCTGCTACATTCCTCCCTCCTTTTTCTAGTCTCTGCCTCCAAAGACATCACTATTTACACCCCAGATTTGGGTATTGAGTATCCCCTTGTCAAGCATTCACCTAATAAGCAAGGGATGGTCACAGGCACCAATAAAAAACAAACCGACCAGACCGGGGTTGGAACCCCGAGACTCTCTGAACTATAGACGGATGCTCTACCAATTGAGCTACCTGGTTGCAGACAATTAATTGACCCAGTCTCATTTCCCAACATTCCACTTTTTTTTTCTAACTCTCGCCCCCAGAAGTCACAACTATTTTTACATCCCAGAATTTTGGAACCCCCTGTCTTAGCATTCACCGATAGGCTAGTGTTTGAAACAAGGGTTGGCAAGCTCCCCATCATTTTTGTCAACAATAGACCCTTTTTGATTCTGATTATCAGGAATCTCTCCAGAAATATTGGGCCTCTTGTAGCCTCAGGAATATTATGTTGAATGCATATCAACACACTAACCAANTTTTTTTCCCCCCCCCCCAAAAATGGGGGGGGGGGGGGGGATATAGTGTTGCCTATGTCCGTCGCATCGCATCCCATCCCATCCCATCCCGTCCTGTCCCATCAAACACTTAAACTAATTTCACATGGTGATGGGGGCATTCATGTCTTACAGACATTTTCTAGTTTTTAAAATGATAATATAAATAGGAGCCGATAGCACGGCCAGACCAGGATTTGAGCCGGGGACCCTCTGAACTTTAGACAGTCACTGGTACCGTTTCAGTTACCTGGTTGTCGATGATTAACCCAGTCCAGTTTTGTTACATTTCTTCCTACTTTTTCTAAGTTTTTGCCCCTGAAAACACACTCGGCTATTTACAACCCAGGTTTGGGTATTCCCTGTTCACTAGTACTTGAAACAAGGGTTGGCATGATCGCCAATTTTGTAAAAGGAACAGAAAAATGCACTGCCAGATCAGGATTTGAATCCAGGACCCTTTGAACTTTAGATAGACACTAGTTGACCTACCTGGTCTTTGACGATTGACCCAGTCCAGTTCTGCTACAATGTTATTTAAAGATTGGTTTCAGTAATCATGGTTGTCCATATACAGCTGGTTTTGGTGATCTTGTGCATCTATTTATCTTGTGCATTGATATCTACCAACATTAAGTTGTAGCCTTATTGCTTATAGCAGTGACCTAGATGGAGCACAATGTGTTATGGGTTGGGTGTTACAGTGTCTGTGCTGTGACATTCCAATATAAGGTAATTGATCCCCAGGCCATGAGTGGTGTATGGCACTATAAAAGATGCCATCGTGAATCATCCTATACTTTATATGTAATCCTCAAAAATTAATCTATAATTGAAATATGATGAGTGTTGGTCTTGAAGTATTACATTTATCAGTAATGGAGCTAAACACAAATTCTGACTCAGATATACAGACTGACAGAAAAGGGAAACACCTTAAAGGGTGGTCGGGTGGTGCATTAGATAGTGCACTTGCCTTTCACCAAGGTGGCCGGGGTTTGATTCCCTGATTGCATGTGTAAAGGTATGAGGTCACCTGCCCGACCACACGGTTTCCTCTCACATTAAGACCCCTCACGTAATAACATTCAGGCCAACAAGAGTGATTAATATAAGTTGATAAAAAGTTATTTCATAATTGTTGTAAATGAAAGTTTATATTTTTAAACCCTTAATGCCCACTTCTACATATTGCAGGATTTCAGTCATCCAGGGGTCATCATGTGACCCCAGTTACTATCCCCTTGATTTATCACTGCATTCTTCAAGAATGATAATGTTGAACAAAAATTACATTAATCTGTAGCTCAGTGTTCCCCATGAATTTTATAGATTTGGGGATATATTTGATAGATTTCAAAATTATAAACCCTCAGGTCCACAGTTATATAGGAAAGTCTATGAAAAGTGGGGGTACAACATACTGTCTGTTTTGGAAGATAAACAAACTTATTTAGAGGTTTGGCTGTTGGCTGATTAATGTTTATCATACAGTATTTGATTTTAAATGTACTGTTTTTGTTTTCCAGCTGTACAACAAAGGCCAACTTTGTCAGTTAGGACTGGATTTTTCAGAACTAGACACATTTTCAAAGGTGCTGAAGATAGTAGATAAAAGGTATGTAAGATCAATCAGCGGTGTTCTTGGTATGGCTTTGAAAAACGAGCTGGCATGTAGGGAATTTAAAAAAAAAATGTTTACAACTTTATAGGAACTAGTTCCTTAAACTTCACAGTGCTTGTTTTTGCCAAAAAAATCATTGAGTAGGGACAAAAAACTAGGTTTAGTATACATACCTGTAGGGTTAACATGGAAACATGCATACAGGTATTTTCTTTAAGCGATTAAAAACATCACCTTCTATATAATTCTTCATATAGAACAGTCTCTGATGGCTGCTAAAACTGTCAGCTTTATTGAAGAAAGAGCTAGACAGACACTGGGCAAATCAGCATGTCCTCTTCTGTATGAGGACTTTAATGTTTCAATCTGATCGTTTGTGTTGGAAATTTGTTTTGAAATTTCTAGTCATACATATTCTTTTTCATCTAATGAAACTTTCAAAACTCATGCAACCCCTTATGTTTTATCCATGTCAACATTTCTTTATTTTCAGACATTTGCTGCACCACAGTTTTCAGGCATTAATGGACCATGGTGTGCGGGTGTCAGACATTCTTGCCGATGCATTCACGGTTCAGTTAATGCCAGCCTCCTGTCCGGACGCAATCTCTAGAGACAGAGCTATTCAATTTGGTCTATCCCTTGGTAAGAGGATAATGTTTGTAGTAGTACTAAATTTTGATACGAAGTCAAAACTGTCGATAGCAACAGATCAAAAGGTCATTATAGACAGGTGGTCGCTTTAAACGGGTGAGATCCAGTAATTAATATGAGAGAGACGAGTCAATGATATGCATCTTGATTCTTTCAACTTATAACCATAACTTTATTGCTGATGAAGTGTGTAGAAGTGAAAAATTGATGAAATCTTTTCCTATCTTCAAAACTTGTGTACAAATTTGATTTCATTCAAAAGGTTTTGTTATGCTCGCTGTTATGAGGGATCACATTGTTGCTGCCTTGTCAGATCACCATCTGTTTATCCTGACAGAAGTTCTTATGTTAAGATAGCTCAATGAAATGTTATGGCTGTATGCATATGTATGATGGCAAGGCCTTGTATTACGCACAATAATTTGGTTTTCATGCCAAAAGTCAAGGTCACCTTGAGGTCAAAGTTCAAACTCATTGACTGGTCCAGAACTTTGCACTCGCTGAAGTACTTAATGGAATTTTAAGAATATATGCAGGATTGAAATGCAGTGTGTCATAACCACTCAAATGGTCTGTACACTCAAGGTCTAGGTCACATTGCGATAAAAGGTCAAATTCATTCTACTGACTTCAGAAGATAGCTCATAAGATCTTCATGGATCAACATAAGTAGGATGGCACATCAAGGTCAAAGGTCAATTTCATTGCCTCAGTGACCTTTAGGGGGATCAGAATTATTTTGCAACTGACTCGTCATTGTTGGAGGGAGGAAGAAGTATTTAGTACTACGGTACATCACTATTTCATGAAAAAAAATAATATTCATCTTTATTCATTTTGTAGGCAGCTTTTTGAGTGATGCTGGCTGGTTTTATGCAAGCGAGAAAGTATTTAAGGGTTGTCTCCTCTTGTGTCAGATGGATGATGTCACGTCTAGTCTCCTTAAAGCCTTGGACTGTAGTGTAAGGTAAGAAGCTCAGTGGCCTTTTTTCATGCAGAGTTAAGCTGTAACACTTTGGTAAAACTAGGAGCATATGGAATTTAGAGATTTTTGTTTTCTAATATAAAAAAACCTGATGTACATGTATATTGATTTAGTATTTCAAAAAACTGAAGTAACATAAAAGATTTGCCATTTCTTAATTTTTTTTCAATTCTGGTGATTTAATTTTGTTTTTTTACAGGTTGCTGCATGTGCAGAATGCTAACTGTAAATATAAGGAGGCCGAGATTACTCGGTCGGTGGCATGTCAATGTCTGGAAATCCTGGAGGAACGAAACGTCCCGGTCAACACATCATCATTTCATACTGAGTGCTGTGCTCTGCTTTTTGCGGAAAGTCTATATGATGAGGTAATTGGAATATTACTGCAGTTGCAGTTAGTGATAGGCTGATGATCGATTATAATCAAAAATCGATCAGTTTGACCTTAACAATTCCGATTATCAATTACAAAGTCCATAATCGATATCATTGGTTCATCATTGAAATCAAAGTGTTTACATGTCTTCAATGTAAAGTATGCTTTGAAAGTCATATACTCTTCATTTATACTATATCAGTATATGATTGATAAAATTGTATAAAAGTTGCTTGATATCCATTCATTCTAAAAGAACGAAACCTTATGTATAGTGAACAACTCTGTTTATTGATGTAATAGTAGTGTTCTCACATTATTTGGGTATTCAGTCCCATAAATTTATAAACTGATTATGCAATCGATCATCGATCAGTTCGGTACTTATGATTACAAACTGATTATCGATTGTGATTTCAAACTGATTGCCCATCACTAGTTGCAGTATATTTTACAATGAACACTTGACCATTTGTCTGTGTCTGGTCCCACTTTGAAAATGAGATCTAGTGTAACTAACTCTCAAAATAAGCTCATAAAGTGTTGAATAAGCAATCCTGTTTCACAAGCCTTTTCCAAATAAAAATAAATAAATAAACCTGATATATCTATACAATATTATGAATTTTAACCAATCGTTTATGCTTAACTATTGTACAAGTAGCGCTTTGATGTAAAGTTTTGCAGTTCAAATATTAACAAATTTTGTACGATTTCTATTCCAGGCAATCAAATATTGTAGCAGAGCTGTTAAGGGACTTTCTGCATTATTACCTCACAAGGTAAGAAACAGGAGTACATCTTGATGTAAAAAGTTTGATTGGGTCATTAGTTAATTAGTTCATCAGTTGACTTTTCTAATTTTTAAAGGACTAAATGTTTGCTGCTACTTGATAAAGACTGTCCTTCTGTAACAATGACACAAACATCTTCTTATGGCTTTATTTATTCATTTAGTATGTAACTGTTAAATAACCATATGCATCAAGACAAGAGAGATCATCCTAAAGTACACGTACTTGGTGTAGACAGGCCGTTACAGGTGCCTGTAACATCATGATAGTGCTAATTCTTTGAATGTTATTTATGCAGAATTTCAATTATGTTTTTTTTCTGTACTCCACTCAAAATCCCATTATGTACCTATTAAAATGTCATTTGTTGTAAATGGAGGGTGTGACTGTTGCGGCTGATTCTACTATAAATAAAATGAAAATATACAGCATTTGATAAAGCGCCCTATCTTGCTAACATAAGCCACTCTAAAGAGCTTTACACTTACAGTACATTGATCCTTTAATTTATACTGTAATTTTTGTTGTTGTATTGTGATAGGTGTACTGCTATTATGATAACTTATGCAGTAGTTAACTCCACTCCCCACCCTATCTTCGATTTATTTTAATAAAAGTAGCAGTAAGAAATAATAACTATGTAGATTTCATGGTTAAAATATGCATTTCAATTAGTGAATGTTATGCAGAACTTCAATTATGTTTTTTTCTGACATTAATATTTCAGACAGTGGTAGATGTATTACGACAGTGTTCAAAGGTAATTATTGTTTTGATCTTAAGTTTCTCCATTTCAGTTAAAATTATTCATTATAAATAGAGTTGTTGAGAAAAAAAACCCTTTAACTCCTTCACCCCTGAAGGTACATTTGAACTCTTCCAATTCAAAGTTGGAATAGTTCATTATGAAATTTCTTAGGTGAAAGAGCTAAAGGTATTTTGATATATCATAAGAACAAAGTTTAAATGTACATGTATAATGTACATACCCAGGTATGCATTGACAAGCAAATAGACAAAAAAACATTTCAATATGTAATAAATGACTATGTCATCGAAAATGTTATTGAAATTGATCAACAATAGATGGTTCAGTATCATATTACGTGTAACCTGTCATTATGAATTGATTAAGTTTTTAACATGTAATAAATTAATCATTCATAGATTTCAATTGTAGAAAAAAAGTGTACATGGAATTGAAATGTGTTCCATATTATTGTATTTAAAATCAGAAGATTTAATACACCTAATTGTGATGAAACTCTTTGTTTTTAGGCATGTGTAGTCAAAAGAGAATTCAGTAAAGCCGAAACACTTATCAAGCATGCAGTGCACTATGCCAGGTAAGATCAAAGGAAAATATGGAAAAAAATCTTCTTAAAAATGGATATTTTAAGAAGAAAAATTACGAACTTTTGTACATTTCAAAAATTTGTTTGATATTGAATTTTAGGCAGGAAATGTACCAGATTTCCCCCCCCCCCCCCCTAAAGATACATATTTCTTTGACATTTCTTATTTGACATTTCATGAAGTGTGGAGTACTATTATGTTAATTTCTGGTCCATCCGCCTTTCCGTTACAATCTTTAATATGTCATCAAGATATTTTATGAAACTTCTCAGGGATGTTTGCCTTGGACAAGTTCATTGTGGCGTAATTGGCCAAAATTCAAGGTCACTGATACTGAAAACAGAATTATTCAATCAATGGCTTGATATCACTCATCCAGACATATTTTTGACACATTTTCTTGAAACTTCATACATGTTTGCTTCGGTTAAAAAGTTCATTTTAATTATTGATCAAAGGTCAAGGTCATTTTTAGTGAAAACAAAATTTTAAAAAATTGCTTATGATCACACCATAGATCAACAGGAGGTATGGTTTATTTTGAGCCTTGTTCACTTTCTAGTTTTTAAAGTCTGCAACCCTACTGAATAAGGGAAGTAGAGCAAAGTCCTTGATAAAAATAATGTTAGTTTTTACTGGAAAAAAATATTGGTTTTACTTAACTGATACATATGGATAGGACTATGTTCATATGAGTCTAAAAGTTAGTAAATATTTGTGTATACATGAGATGTATTAAAGATCTACATATATTTGTAAACTGACAGGTCAATGTTTGGAGGACAGCATCCGAAATATTCAGACGCACTCCTGGACTACGGTTTCTACCTTTTAAATGTCGACTCCATCACAGCAGCAGTACAAGTTTATCAGGTAATATGTACTTCCCTATTTAACATTAACAATTTTTCTTCATATACAAATACAGTCGAATCTGCTCAAGCGACCATCTTCATTAATCGAACATTTGTTTTATGCGACTACTTTTCATTCCTTCCGACTTTTGCCTATGTAATTTAACTGTATAAGTGACCATCTGTCTAACGCGACCAGCGACCACCCAATACTGACCTCAAAGTTAGTTACGTTAAATGACTACGTTAGATACATTTGTAACTCCAAATTTGCGACCATTACCACATTTGTAGAAGGACTACTAAACGATCTTTTCACCAAGTTCAGTGAACAAATTTGACACAACCAATTTCCAAACTTATAATAAATTCATTGACATGTGCAGAAACATTTTTTTTCTAACTGAAAATTGTACAGTGAAATCTGTATTTTAGACACCACCCTTGAGAAGTCAAAATGATGGCCTCAATTTTTTAATAGAATGTTCCGATTTTAAACACATTCGTGATAACTACTTCCGAGTCCAGGATATGAAAACACTTTTCAGTTCCGTGGATTCGAAGGCATTATTTAACTATTTGAAAGACATTGGTCTATTTTATAGACTCTGATGTCTTTTAACCCACCTTATCATTTTTGACGTTATATATATATCGCATATTCCATATCATCTATTCGTTATCTCTTTTATTATTTTAACTCCCTTTTATTATTTTTATTATCTACACATACAATGCGAATACTTTTAAAATGAACCATTTTATCTGATTTTATCTTCGCTATTCACATGTTTGTTAAAAAAGTAAAATAAATAAATAAATCACCATGGCCCTAAATGACCACAGCCGTCGATGGCCCGTTAAACATAAACAAACAAACAAACAATGATGGCCTCTAACCGTAATGTAAGGAGTCTCTTAATACAGGTTCCGTTCAAAATTAAATCGCTATACCGGTAATAGGGAAAATTGAAAGTGGTCTCTTAACACAGGTGGTCTCGTAATGGAGGTAGTCAATTAAGCAGGTTTGATGGTATACATTAGCTTGACAATGGAAGTTATATCATAAATTTTGCATCGATAGTCTGTATGTCACTGTATCTCCCTCATAGAGAAAGCATTAGTGGTTGTCAACATGCTGTACAGGAGTTCACTTGCAAAATAATAATAATGTGTCTGACTTATGTTTAAGATGGCCCTAGATATTCGGCAGTCTGTGTTCGGTGGAAATAACCTGTATGTAGCTATCGCCCACGAAGACCTGGCCTATGCCTCCTATGTACAGGAGTACAGCTCAGGCAACTTTAAAAATGCAAGGTAATATACTCCACTCAAAATCCCATTATATACCTAGTTACATATTAAAATGGCATTTGTTATAAATGGAGGTTGTGACTGTTGTAGCTGATTTTACTATATACATTTTTGTTTTATTGTCACAGTTGTATTGTTAAAGGTGTACATGTACTGCGGTTATGATAACTTATGCAGTAGTTAACTCCACTCCCCACCCCAACTCCGATTTAAAAAAAGGTAGCAATAAGAAATAATTTTATGTCTTTAAGTCTTAAACCTATAGATACTTGTACCACGTAGTTATTGGTGTAAAATTGCATACAACTCTGTGCCATTTGATTATGTGATGAAGCAGAAGTGTTTAAGATTTCAAAATTGACCAAGGACATTTCTGTTTATCAATATCCAGTTTGACTAGAGTTATTAGTTGTTTTCCAGAGTCCCCAACTGCCAGCTTTACAACAAATGACATCAGGAGGTCATATGCTTTTAGGGTGATTTAACCCTCCGGAGAGGTGGTTGGTTATGGTCAGCTCTGACAAGAAATACCACACATAGTACAAGTTTATTGTCAATACTTTAATGAGTGTATTGTATGTGAATGTGTTTGTACATATCCTCACAGTAAACATGTGTATAAGTGCTATCTGACATTATTGTACTTAACGCTTTCATTAAAACATGCATTTCCACCCTATACATGCAGATTACAAAATTTCTGTACAATTCACGTATGATAAGTACAAATTATGTTAAGTTTGGTTCTAAAAACCCCAAACTGAACAACTATGGAAAGCTAAGTGATGTTGGGATTAGAAAAAAATGACTACTCACAACCATGGTGTCATGTAACGTGGAAAATATTCAAAGCACATTTAAGTTTCAATTTGTCTCTTTCATCAGTAATGTAAACTGAAAAGTTAAAGCTCTGAATGCAGAATGTTGAATTAAAAATGTTTGTGGAATAATATTACACTGTTATATAGCTTGAAAATCTATAGGTAGTTCAAAAATATGTAATAAATAATAGTATAATATCAGGTCTTGCAAACTTCCTTCTACATAACACTTTTTGACTTTCCAGAGATCATGCGGACAAAGCCATAGAAATTCTCGGCCACATTTTACCACAGGATCATTTATTGTTATCATCATCCAAACGTGTAAAAGGTAAGTCACATTATACATATTACCAGGTTCTCTACGTATACCCTGACTTTCTATCTAGAATCGAGGTGGACAACCAACAACTGTAACTTATACCAGGTTCTCTACCCTAGCTTTCTATCTAGAATCGAGGTGGACAACCAACAACTGTAACTTATACCAGGTTCTCTACCCTGGCTTTCTATCTAGAATCGAGGTGGACAACCAACAACTGTAACTTATACCAGGTTCTCTACCCTAGCTTTCTATCTAGAATCGAGGTGGACAACCAACAACTGTAACTTATACCAGGTTCTCTACCCTGGCTTTCTATCTAGAATCGAGGTGGACAACCAACAACTGTAACTTATACCAGGTTCTCTACCCTAGCTTTCTATCTAGAATCGAGGTGGACAACCAACAACTGTAACTTATACCAGGTTCTCTACCCTGGCTTTCTATCTAGAATCGAGGTGGACAACCAACAACTGTAACTTATACCAGGTTCTCTACCCTAGCTTTCTATCTAGAATCGAGGTGGACAACCAACAACTGTAACTTATACCAGGTTCTCTACCCTGGCTTTCTATCTAGAATCGAGGTGGACAACCAACAACTGTAACTTATACCAGGTTCTCTACCCTAGCTTTCTATCTAGAATCGAGGTGGACAACCAACAACTGTAACTTATACCAGGTTCTCTACCCTGGCTTTCTATCTAGAATCGAGGTGGACAACCAACAACTGTAACTTATACCAGGTTCTCTACCCTAGCTTTCTATCTAGAATCGAGGTGGACAACCAACAACTGTAACTTATACCAGGTTCTCTACCCTGGCTTTCTATCTAGAATCGAGGTGGACAACCAACAACTGTAACTTATACCAGGTTCTCTACCCTAGCTTTCTATCTAGAATCGAGGTGGACAACCAACAACTGTAACTTATACCAGGTTCTCTACCCTGGCTTTCTATCTAGAATCGAGGTGGACAACCAACAACTGTAACTTATACCAGGTTCTCTACCCTAGCTTTCTATCTAGAATCGAGGTGGACAACCAACAACTGTAACTTATACCAGGTTCTCTACCCTGGCTTTCTATCTAGAATCGAGGTGGACAACCAACAACTGTAACTTATACCAGGTTCTCTACCCTAGCTTTCTATCTAGAATCGAGGTGGACAACCAACAACTGTAACTTATACCAGGTTCTCTACCCTGGCTTTCTATCTAGAATCGAGGTGGACAACCAACAACTGTAACTTATACCAGGTTCTCTACCCTAGCTTTCTATCTAGAATCGAGGTGGACAACCAACAACTGTAACTTATACCAGGTTCTCTACCCTGGCTTTCTATCTAGAATCGAGGTGGACAACCAACAACTGTAACTTATACCAGGTTCTCTACCCTAGCTTTCTATCTAGAATCGAGGTGGACAACCAACAACTGTAACTTATACCAGGTTCTCTACCCTGGCTTTCTATCTAGAATCGAGGTGGACAACCAACAACTGTAACTTATACCAGGTTCTCTACCCTAGCTTTCTATCTAGAATCGAGGTGGACAACCAACAACTGTAACTTATACCAGGTTCTCTACCCTGGCTTTCTATCTAGAATCGAGGTGGACAACCAACAACTGTAACTTATACCAGGTTCTCTACCCTGGCTTTCTATCTAGAATCGAGGTGGACAACCAACAACTGTAACTTATACCAGGTTCTCTACCCTAGCTTTCTATCTAGCTAGAATCGAGGTGGACAACCAACAACTGTAACTTAGATTTGTTTTCTATGAAAATGAAGCGATTTGCATTTACAAAGATGCTTATCTTCATTTCCATGCAAAGAGTTATGTCAGCTTGTATTTTCTTTCCAACATGCATCAGTTGTTATACCTGTGTGTTTTAACAGCTGTTACATTGGGTGTCTTTATTTTATATCTATTTGTGTGTGTGTGTGTGTAACTGTTTGTACATGCAGCTCTGAATATGGGCTTCCACAATCACCAGTCAGGGAGAACTTGGTTGTGTAATTCTGACATTAGGTGAACTTGGTTGTGTAGTTCTGACATTGGGTGAACTTGGTTGTGTAGTTTTGACGTTGGGTGAACTTGGTTGTGTAGTTCTGACTTTGGGTAAACTTGGTTGTGTAGTTTTGACGTTAGGTGAACTTGGTTGTGTAGTTCTGACTTTGGGTAAACTTGGTTGTGTAGTTCTGATTTTTTGTGAACTTTGTTGACTGATTTGTTCATATTGCTGCAGCCCTTATCCTGGAGGAGATTGCTATTGACAGCCATGACAAGGAGGAGGAAAACCGGATGTTATTGGAATCTCAGGACCTTCACCTCCAATCTCTTGCCCTGGCAAAGGCTGCATTTGGGGAAAACAATGTCCAGACAGCCAAACACTATGGGAACCTGGGCCGCTTGTACCAGTCCATGAGGAGATACGATGTATGTCCCCACAGTATTCATTCACATAGTGAAAATGTCATCTCTGTATTTTAGAGTAAGATAGAATAGAAGAAGTACCAAAAGAAAGTGCAATGAATTATTTTAATTTCTCAATATTTTTATCACAATGTTTTCCTTTTAAATGACCTGAAAGTATGAATGCTGAGAGTAGGAACATGCATCGAGTTGAACTCTGTGGATACTAGCTTTATGAAATGAACACCTCTTGACCATGGCCATTACAATTTCTGATTTCCTCATGAAACTTTGGACTTAACCAGTTTGAAGTAATGTATCTGAGTAAGAATAATTTTTCAAGAAAACAAAAGTTGCTTAATTTAATTTTCTTGTAATTTATTAAAGTCACTTAAATTCTGCCATATGGCAAGAAATGATACATCTCAAGTCCATGGCTACATGTATTTGTTACTATTTGATAGGAAGCACAGGAAATGCATTTAAAAGCCATAGAGATCAAGGAGAGACTGCTTGGTACTGACGATTACGAGGTTGCTCTGTCCGTAGGACATCTAGCCTCTCTCTATAATTACGACATGCGGAAATTTGACGAGGCAGAAAAGCTATATCTACGATCTATAGCAATAGGTATGTAGCAAAGAGACACTTTTTGTATTGGTATTTGTTTTCAATCTCTTGATTAAATCGGTATATCTAAGATCTATAGCTATAGGTATGTAGGAAAGAGACACTTTTTGTACTGGTATTTGTTTTCAATCTCTTGGTTAAATCGGTATATCTAAGATCTATAGCTATAGGTATGTAGGAAAGAGACACTTTTTGTACTGGTATTTATTTTCGGTCTCTTGATTAAATCGTTCTTTGGAGCTGGACAAAATCTTTCAGATTGATGATAAGGGAATCTCTCTGAAAGTAATCTGTTGTCAGGCAGAGTTCAGATCCAGAGCTGGAGTAGAAAGGTATGACTGTAAAGAAAATAGAATTTAGATAAGTAAAAAAAATCAAAGCACAACAATTATAGAAAAGAAAGCTATCAAAAGCAGTTAGGGTTGTTCCATAATTTATCCTAAGGGGAGGTAGGAGGCACCTGTCAATATAGTCAAATATTATGGGTGATGGGGTTGAAACCATATCTGCCTACCATTCCTTATATGAAGTCACCTACAAGATTTTATGGGTGGTGGGGTCCCTGAAAAAGTGCCTCCCACCCCTCCCCTACAGTTAATTCTGGAACGGACATTATAGAAAATATTTAGTTTGAGATCATTCTAGACAAGAGAACATATTCTTTTACCCTAGACAGGTGTATTCACACTTTTCCTGGTGTGAGATATCCTTTTCTCTTACCCTGGACAGGTGTATCTGCACTTTTACCGGTGTGAGATTTCCTTGTCTCACCCTAGGGTTGAGACGGGGGGATTCCCCTATTCATAACAATGGTATGACGTCACTTCAACAATACAATGATGTCACGTCAACAATCAATCAACGACACGTCAACCCTGAATTTAGCATGTAACGTTGTCATTACATTGTGTACATGATACACATTGGAAGAACAGGGTAAGAGAAAAAGAATCATTCACCCCCTTGTGGGTAAGATAGAGGAATCTAAACCCTCGGGAAAAGATTCTTAAGTTGCCAAACACTCGGCAAAGCCTCGTGTTTGGCAACTTAAGAATCTTCCCCCTCGTGGTTGAGATTCCCCTATCTCACCCCCTAGGGGGTGAGAGATTCTATTAGTCTCACCCTAAGATTGAGACGAGAGGATTCCCCTATTCATAACAATTGTATGACATCACATTAACAATACAATGACATCATTTCAACAATGCATTTAATTAGCCTGTAACGTATACCTCAAAATAAGAATCTTCCCCCTTCGGGTTGAGATTCCACTATCTGGCCCCCAAGGGAGTGAAAGATTCCATTACTCTATAGCGTTTTTCATTAAGCATGGTTAAGCTGTCAAAGGTTTGTTCTGGGAACTATTTGGCATGGTAGGCATCCAGCACCATTAAAAGTCTGTAGTCCTAAGTTACTGTCTATCAGAAAGGCAATGAATCACACTATTTACGCTTTGTGTGTTTTGTCAGTTGGTTAATACAGTAAAAATGTAATCTGCATAAACAAAGTATTAAATATCACAATGCAGTATTTATATACATATAACCAAATTATCTTTGCAGGCAAGAAATTATTTGGTGAAGGGTACAGTGGTTTGGAGTACGATTATCGTGGCCTACTGAGGCTCTATAGGACTACATACAATCACAGTATGGCCGATATGTATGCTAATATCCTCCAGCAGTGGAATCAAATCCGGGATCGGAACAATGCAGAGGAAGTGAGACCTCTTGATTTCCAGGTGTTTGACAATTTACAAGATCTTGTGCAGGATTGTGTAGCAAAAATGAACTGAATTGCTTTTATTTGCTGGCCTATTTTCAGGTTATGTCATAAAAGTTAATTCAACAACACATTGTTCAGGATTGTGTGAGGAAAATTGGATGTGTTCATGTTTGCACTGCCCAATGCTCAGCTGGTATTGCAACAGTGAAAATCACAAGACTTTGTGGTAGCTGATATTGACGGAGAATGTGTTTCATCAACCAATTTTAAGAAAGCTGCCTGTGTAGTTGGACGATGTTTCTGAGAACAGCCTACATGACATCTTGATTTTATAGGAAAAACAAAGTGATTTATCGTTTGTTTTATAAATATCCATGTGATTGTAAAAATATCACAACCATAATAAGGCTGTGAGCTCATGTGGTACCCTCTTACTTTATCATATGAGGAGAAAATGCAAAAATCTGTCTGCCTTCTAGAATGTCCCAATGTTTAGGAAGAGAACTGTTGTAATATTTTCAAGAAACCTTTTACATCTGTTTTGCAAATTTGTATTGTAACGGTTAAATGAATATGTGCATGTATAGCCCATGAGCTTTTATGTGGATGTGGACCGTTTGTAATATCTCAAAAGGAAGTTTCATGTTACTGTTCAAGTATGACTGTAGGTCAGATCAGGATATGTGACGGTGTTGTATTGTGCTGCAAATCTGCAGTTACAGTAATTTTTGTGGATATTGTCATGTTTGGAATCGATGTAATTGCTTCGAAAGGGAATGTGTATATAAAAATGTATATACATGTCCTAAATTAGGAAAAGCCACCAATAAGGGGAAGGGGTTAGTGAGTTATGGGGTGAAGCTTCTGTATGTATATGCCCTGTATATATATATTGGTGGAGACAGTGACTGTGCCTATAAGGATTTAACTACAAGGTATGTGTTGGTAGCAAATATTTGATGCCATGTTTAAGGGGTGGAAGTACAATACCTTAATGCATTTGTTTGGAGAAAGAATGTATTGTATGGTATTACATTGGAATGACAGTAAGCCAATAATATTCACCCCTGAAATGAACTATTCCAACCTTTGAATTGGAACAGTTCAAATGTGTTTTTAGGGGTGAATGAGTTAAGCTGGTTTTTATATAAAGGGATTTGGAAAACTGAAAATGGTGAACGAGGTCATATCAATAAATGGTAGGTGAGTGTTACATATAAGAAATGTACACTGACTTAAAAAGTGCTAAATAATGAGTAGTTTCAGTATATGTTGGGATCATTCTCGTACCTGGTTACAGGGATGACAAATAAGGTGAAGTCGAAAAATTACAACTAATCATGTCATGGTAATCAACCGTATCATGAACATTGTATGTCATAAGAGATCATATCAGCATATATTTATTTTAAGGTCAAATCATATCCCCCACCATTTTTATTGTCAGCATAATTAAATCCTATCTCAAAGAAATTTTCATCATTTAAGCAGTTCCATTTTAACAGTTTTTCTAATCCTAAAGGGTTTCCTTGTAGATATTCAAATTCAGATAAACTTTTTATACTATTTATTAAATTGTGAACATAAATTCCTTCCCTCTCTCTACTCCTCCTCCTCATTTAAATCATGTCATACAGGCATTAGTTATATCCAGCATTGAATCTGTAAGGTACATGTTAAATACCTTCCCTAGTTTTGTGTGCTGACCAAGTTGTTTCCACTAAATATTTACATCCACAGGTACAAAGGTAGCAAAAACATATTTTGTTTCACTCTCTAAAAAATAACTTTTATAAGATTCTGACATTACTTGGTTTTTCAATAGTTTTAATTTATCCAATTTTTTCCCCACAAGCATTCAAGAATATCTCCAGAGCACTGACAGTTTCATGATCACTACAAATTATATATGGACAAAATGTCTGTTAATCACCCCCTTAGGTACTTTATACACAGAAAGATTTGTTTCTTGTGAACCAATATGACTGTCATAATATCATATGACTGCCAAATCTACCTGTTGCTCTACATGTACACGGTAGAAAAGGGGCTTGACCATATATATATCAGTTTGTTTCAAGAGCAGTTATTATTTCAAAAACAATTCTCTAACTGCCCTGGTAATTACTTTTCTTCGTCTGCAATAAACATGAAATATTTTTGTATTTGGTCATAAAAACATGCAGGGCAAATTTGGAATTAACTCTGAACTAATTTTGTTTTAAGCTGATCATGAGGGCACATTTCAAATTGATTTTTCTTGATTTTTTGTTTGGTTTGAATCAAAGGTTCGTGTTTGGATATATTTTTTTTTAAATATTTTTTTTATTAATATGACATTTGATAAAAAATATTGTTTATTGCTTAAGATGAAGGTACTGTTTTAATTTTCTTTTTGTTGAAAGATGTACACAGGTCACAAAGACCATTGTCCTGAGGGTTTTTCGTATCTGTAATTTATTGAACAATAATGATGTTGGTGTATGTAATTGTGATGCTCAGGGACACTAGGACAGCTACAGCAAACTAACATTAATCTGTTACTATTCTTATATTATTCAGAAACTGAATTTGGATACTGTTATTCTTTTTGACCACAAGTCTTAAAGATAATTTTCATAAACAAAATTGAGAAGATAAACAAAATTTGATTGTACAGAATGTATTATAGCCAAAACTTCATAATACTGCCAACATGACCCCTTATTTTGTAAAATTTTGCCATTGTTATAATGTAAAGAAGTTTGGCATTCTCTTAAGGGAGATGTGTCAAGGAATTGTTCAGGAAAAGAAAAAGGGACATCTGATTAGTTTGGGGATAAGTGAGGTGGGTTAAGTAATGAGGGTGATTGGATCACGATACTGATAACCAGGGATTTGTTTGTTAATGATGATCCAAAAGGGGACTAAAAAGGTAATATAGTTTGTCAAAGTAAACCTTTATTTTAATGATTGATTACGTCAGGCACTTTCCTGTCGGGGGACAAAGTATGACTGTAATACCATGACTTTACAGTAAGCATGTTCATAGTCACCTGTTTTCTGTGTGTTCTGTAATTCGTACATACCTGTTATCTCTGGTATGAGGAACAAACATACTGTGGTATAAAAATGGCATGCTATATTACGTGTTTCTGCATCCATTTAACAAGATTGTTAAAAAAAACATGTTTTTTCCTTGTGAAGTGCTACATGTTTTTAAAAATGGTTAAAGATAGGTTTTAACCATTATTTATGATCATTAATGATTGGTTATAAGATATTTGATATAAAAAAGTATGAAAGCCTGTGATTTATTTTGTTTCCCTATTTTTGTTGCTATAGTTCATGTCTGTTGCCTAGTTGTTTGTTGAGAGCATTTATGCCTTTATAATTATGTGATAAACACTAAGTTAAGTTTCTTATTCTTGCCAAAAGAATATTGATTACAACGCAGCTCAATCTTATGAATATTGTAATTTTTGTTGGCTTTTGAATTATATTGTTGACAATATAATTAAGTGAAAGGTTATGTTTCTATTTCTCCAGTCTGAATATTGTCCGTACTTATGTCCTTTATATTAATTGTGTACCATAAGTACAAATTTAACCGTTAAATAATTAAATTTTATCAAAATCCAATCATGACTTAATCACATTGCATAATATCAGAATAAATCAAAAGCCATCTTCCAAATCATAGGGTTACGCTCTATACCGGGTATATAGCGTATCTTCACATCAGTTTAAGAGCGTTTGTGTGATCCCTGGAATTTCCTACATGATCAAATGCTGTTTATAACAAGTTAACGTTTGGTCCTGAATTGATGTTTGATTTTAATGGTTTTAAAATTGCTTTGGGCTTTGGAAGAAACTTTGTATACTGATCAATAATATCAAGAGTAAGCTGCTTTCAAATGTACTATTTTACGGCAATTATAGGTAAAGCGACGCCAACTGCATACGTAAAAGGAAAAACTGCATGAAGCACTTGTAGGTAACTTGTTTTAGATTATAAATGTTTGTGTATCAATATGTCTGGACTTGTATGCGAACTAAGTTTTCATAATACTTAAGTGTAGCAGAACAAATCTTGTGTGAAATTCTTATATTTTGCAAAATTGTAGCCTTTTTAATTTAAAAACTTCCCTATCATGCTGTGGAAACTCTCATATTTCTTCTCCATTTACACATTGAAAAATCCATTTTCAAATTGGGATCTGTTTCATATCAACATCCCATCACCATCCATTAAATTATTAATATTGCAGTAAATATTTATTGTACATAAATGATCATATTCACAATACTATTGTATCACAAGATTTGCAAGTTGTTGGATTGTTTCTACATGACTATACACTGTAGTATATCATTTGTTCACTCTTTGGTCTTTTATGAAATACATATTAATTAGAATATATTACATGTACATGTGAAATAGATTACCGGTATAAGTCATAATGACATGGTAAGGTAATAAAACAAATATTTGAAGGTATCGATGAATAGGATCTGCCATATACATTTTTATAAGAAATAAAACTTCAAATCTTTGTAAATCTCCACAAAAAACTATCCAGCAGTTACAAGTACCTGGTATGCAGGTACAAAATGTGTTTAGATTGATCGCATATTATTTACCTTCTGCTTTCTTAGCAGATGTGAAATTAATTGTTTCATTAAAAATCTTACATGTATCTCTACAGATTTTGTACCTATAGCTATTAATCTACAGTAAAGTTTAAAGTAAAGCCTCTTCAATTGAGCCATGATTTTGTTTCCAGCAACAGCAGTGGTTTGTTTGTGAAATGGCTAGTTACGGGAACACTTTCTAAAAGGAAACAGTTCCAAAGATTTGGGGTGGGCTTAATATCCAGTATGGGCTTGTAACTTGACTTATAAAATACTGAAATTCTGATATTTAACTTAGTTGTCTAGCACAGAATCAGAAGCCAAGTATGCAATATAGACTTACAATGTATGATAAATTACTTAAGTCTTTCCATTAACAACAAATACAGCACTGTTAGTTACTGTTAATGTCTTAACATTTGAGTTTTTACAATTGATTACTTTATCAAAGATTTTATAAGTGTACCCAAGATATTGAAATATATACTTCCTTGAATTGATCAGTTGTCTTGCAGACAGTATCTACCTTTTCCTCTCGATCTAGTAACAGTTGAGCCTTGACAACCCAGTAGCCTTTGTTCCCAGCAAAATGTACAATCATGTACTATATCGCGAGACAACTGGGACAAATATAAAACAATGCCTGGATTAGCAAGGCTTTACTGTATATATATATAGTTACCTATATGCATTCAAGACCATATGACTGGATCATTTCAATTAATTCAAAATTGTGTTAGCTGCTTTAGTCTTTACAATATTTATTTATAAAAGAATTTGTATACATTGTTCTTCGTATACAGACACTTTCCTCTCTGAACCAAACCTGATCTGGGTATGTTTGCTATCATTTTCAACAAGGCAATATATTATATTAATAACTTCACAATAATGTAACTAAAATATTTACACCTGTGATATTTTCCTTCCATTTGCCTTTGAATGAGAAGGTGAATTCAACGCAGGGTGGAAAATATTACCTCATTATCCCTACTGGTATGTATACATTGGTGAATTAACCACTGCAGGAAAATTTGTAAATTTGATAGGGCAGAGGTATAAGGGTTTAAAGCAACTGGTGATGTTGCAGCCAATTTTTTGTTTAGTTAACATAAAAAAAGCAGCAAAACCTTAATGTACATATATTTGATCATGCAATTTCAAAGTGTAAAGAAAACATCCCTTTCTATTTTGTAGGGGAAAAGATTTACTAGTGTAGACAGTCGGATGATGTGTAACATGTACATTTTGTATGTTCAGCTTCTGTCTGATGGTCAAGTTTTTACTTGGGTCAGATAAAAATAAACTAACATTTACATGCCAGGTTTATTGTTTGTAGTTTTATTCTCAACAAATCAAAGTGAGCTGGTATTACAAGCATGGCTGTACAGTGGCAAACTTAGAGGTGGACACTGACACATAGATACTTTAATGAGGTGGCACTATATCGGACAACTCATAAATCAGTACCCAAAGGTCAAATCATTTCAATCCACATGCATGCCCAGTCAATTATTTTGAACAAGGACCTACCAAACTCTAGACGAATGCTCTACAAATTAAGCTACCTGGTTGCTGATGATCGACTCAATCCAGTTCCCCTAATTCATATATGGATGTGTCATTACTGGATGTCAAGGTCATTAGACACAAATCATTCTATGGACATTTAGGGCTTGAATATTTGTTTGCCGAATTGGCTCCAAAGGCAAAGTTATACGCACCTGTTAGATATCTGTTGTTTGTCCATCAACTGGCTTTAGAAATTTACTCCTCTTGAACAGATGATCAGATTTAAACCAAGTTTGAATAAGATTTTGTATAACGGAAGAGTGATACTCCCTTAGGTGACAGAATGAGCAAAGCCAAAAGGAGATATGATATGGGCTAAACTAACTCATTTTAACTCGGTTAAGAAGTTGCAGTTGCCTGATGGCCCCTTTGGAAACGTTGCATTTCGGTCAGACCACCTGTTTAATGCCTTGTTTCAAAACCGACGTGTGTTATTGGCGCTATTTTTAACAGGGCTTTTCCAAAAAATTAAAGTGGTCAAACTGGACGTTTGGAATGGACTATTAACATGGGGATAGCGAGTTGCCAAAAGTGGGAGTGCATACAACACATAGATTCATTGAAAAAACATCGTCTCTTCACGTGATATCCCTTTAAGTATGGGTGAAGGGATTTTTTCTTATTTGGCATAGAGCAAGGAATTAAATAAAAAGAGAAATACTGAAACAAGTAACTCCATTTTTCAACAAGGTAAATTTTATTCCCAATGTTATTGATAACAACATCACAGTAAAAAACAATGGAATTACATCTGGTCCAGTTCTGTCTGTCATTCCTACATAATAATGCAAAAACTTGGCAATTTGGTGTTATACAAAGTGACATTATCACCATTCCAGAAAAAGAGTATTTTTTATTTTCAATGGTCATGACTGCCTTATGGTGGTAGACCACTCTGAATTAAGCAGTAAAAGAGAATTTTTCTGTAATATTATATTACTTCTGAGTCTAGCAATGTGTTGTTTAAACACATTATTTCAATTTCTAATGGCTCTGAATCACAACAATTTTAATATAAGTGCATCATAAGGCTGTTATGCATAAAAACTTTGATCAATGTTTTGATTAATCAAATTAAAACATATCTATTGTTATATCTTGATGGCTAACTAACACACTGTTCCAAGACAGCTCTTCAGTAGTAAAGCAAACACTGGGGATGAGTGCTTATATTAATGGAAGAAAAAGAAGGCCACATATAATATCAAATTCTACGTGTGACAAACAGTGTGAATGAGATCTAATCTTTAACAAGAGTATGGCCCCTTTTAAATTGTGAAATATTCAAAAGACGATAATTTTGCGCAAGACAACACCCCTTTCACACACATTAAGTGGTAGGGTACGGAAGACAATATCATGGGAGGTGTCCTACTCCTTTTCATATAAAATAACAGTAAAAAGGAGACAATTCTGTTTGCGGCTTCCCTTTTATATGTGGATCGACAATCAAGAGAGACAATCTCATACCTGGCCATCACAGACATTTGATAAGTACATGCTTCACAACCTTTCAAAATATTTGTGGTAGAAACTGTATGACAAGCTCTTAAAACTTACTAGAAGACTTTTGTATTAATTGGACATATAATAGTGTAAAATTCCGTAGTTTATAAACTGTTCTATGTAATGAGTTAACTTCAAAAAGAAAGATTTATGAAGTTTTCTAACAAAATAGAGGGACTTGGCAAGTGTGTAAATATATAACATGTATGTTGTATTAAATCTAAAAGTCTATAATAATACTCATGTATACTTTGCATTCACATCCAACCTACCTGAATAATAAATGCCAACTTGAGGTGTGTACACAATTCTAAGGAACAATGTGAATGTCTAAATAATTTAAACACAAAATCATGTAAACAAATCCAATAAAACACTCAACAACTTCATTGACTAAAAATCAAAAGCTTTTTAAAATTCCTAAACTACAAACAATTTATACAAGAGGATGAACAATAAACAACACATATTATATTGACTTAATGGTCTGACAATCCCATCAGGCTAGTTATGAAATACTGTTTCTCCCTGAAAATAGCCTAGAAAATCATACATGGTTTGTTCCAATACATTAAAAGTGTGAAAAAGACTTCTTTAAATGAGTACAAATATTTATTATTACTGTATAAACTAGAACTGTAAGCCAAAGGCTAACTAATACCCCCGCACCTATGTAAACCAGAACTGTACGCTAAAGGCTTACTTATGCAAAGCAATAAAGTCTCCCACCAGTATTGAGTTATGGTAATCACTATTTTATTAAAAACAAAAAACAAAAATAACAAAAAAATAAACAAGTATTTCGCACGAAGGGGCATAACTCCATCAAAAAAGGTCTAAATCCCAAATTAAAATGCTGGTGCACAACTACATAAGATACTGATCATTCATGCAAAGTTTCAATGAAATCCACCTGTTAATTAAGGAGGAGTTTTCCGGACAAGTTACTGCGGAAGACAGACAGATATCCAGACAGGGTGATTCCAGTATACCCCTCCTAACTTCGTTGCGGGGGTAAAATAATGATAAAAAATAATTATAATGAACTCATACACAATTCAATGCTGCAACAGGTGAAACTATAAACAACTCCAATAATGCTGTAACAGGTGAAACTATAAACAACTCCAATAATGCCTTAACAGGTGAGACTATAAACAACTCCAATAAAACTCAATGCTTTAATTACTATCTAACAGTAAAAAAAAACCATCTCTCTCACAAGTACAATACATAATGAAATATAATACACACACGGGTACCAGAGTTGGAATAATTTTGCTGATTTCATGAAGGATATTCCAGATGGTGCAGTAAAGATATTTAAGGGCACAGATAAGAATGATTTGTGAAAACCTTTGTCAATTGCTAAAATAATCACTAACAAGAATTGTTCAGTGAGTATTATTGACTGATTATGACTTAAGTTTAAATGTTGAATGCTAACCAGCTCCTGTCAATGTCAGTTTGTAACATTGCCACTATTTCTATCTAAATGAGATTTGATCACTGCAATACTCACAGCTCTGACAGCAAAAAGGATGGAAAATGGCATTTATACATTAAATTCCACTAAATACAGGCAAAAGGATAGCATGGTTGCATATCTGGGAAGAGTTGTGGAAATTAATATGTATTATATAGGGAAGGTACATGTACATGCAGACACTAGATTTTGTTATTTTTACTGATAGTACCACATCTTACGTAATAATTAAAGGCACCTGCTCTAATATGGACACCCCAAGGGATTAGTAAAATATTACCTGCAATGCTTATTGTAAAATTAAAGATTTTTTCCCATTGCAGATTTCATCTATTCTAGAAGTAATCTGATTGGTTTTGCCTGTTAGACAACCACAATAGCACCACACAACAGTATATTGGATGAAAACAAAGCTGTCAAAGAGAATTACCTGCTGATACAGCGACCAATTCAATCTATCAGAATGATACACCGTTTGATTAATGGGGAAAATAGTGAAATGATAGGTGTTACAGTGTTGTTTGAGGAAAAACCTCTCAAAATTATGGCACCCTAGTATTCATTTACCCATGCCCTGCACCCTTCTTATGCCAATTACAGTATATTTATGGATGAGATATTCCTACAAAAATCAGGATTGTTAAAACCTTGCATAAAATCTTCTTTTCACTAGATGCCTTAATATAGGGCGAGATTAATCATTTCGGTCATGATGAACTACAGTCTCCATCACTGGTCCTATATGATACCATTTCCTAACGGTGTTTTCCATTAGTGCATCCACAGACAAATCTATAGGTTTGATGATGAATGGTATACAAGCTAATCCAATTATTGTGGTTATCCATTTCCTTGTTTTGCCCGGAAGCTGGGAATTCTTCTTTAGTGCATATGCACTTAAAGCACATATTCGGTTAATGGTGAAGCCTGGTATAGCTACAGACGCAAGCCCCTGCCACATTAATGTGTCGAAGATTGCCCACCGCACCTGTGACGACTTCTGTCCCTCATTTTTCCAAGTTTTCTGAAATTTATAAAAGGAGATTGGACAGACTATGTACAATATTAATTACATTTGTATCATAGTTAATTAACAGCTCAAGCCCAAATTGATCATATGTTTAACCGAGGTCAGGATATATCCATTTTCTATGTACCATCACAGTAGGAGAACCCCCGACTACAAATGACCAGTACAGTGCTCTACTGATTCAGCTACATAGAGAAACAACCTCTCGTCAAATCAGTAACTAGGTGGTTCACTACTGTGACACACATTTATATTACATCCCTTTTCTTATAACTAACTCTTTTCTGCAGTACAATCAACACCATACAAAATTGAAAAATAATAACATCTACTAGTTTTTTCCAATTTCAAGAAATAGAATTAGAAATAATCAAATCAACTAAATACTCTTTGCCTTACTTTGATGTAAAATAAATTCACATTTTCGAGACATTATTTTTTCAGCACAAAAGTTCCAAAGACCTTTGGCCCCATTTTAAAGATTTCTAGCTAGAGAATTAGCCCTGAATCGTCAACACAACATAATATAGTATATTGGTTTTATGCTCAACTGCTGAACACTTATACATAAGTATGAGTTTAACTTACCAGTGATGCTTCTTTGCCTTTATGAACAGCATCAGCCACAACATATCCACTGGCAATAGCATAACTAAATCGCACAGCATTTACATGTATTTGAGCTCGGAATGACTCTCCAACCTCATTTGCATATCCTGCAAAAAAAATCCAGAAAATTTGAAAAAACTTATACGATTATATTGTTCCATTAAGAATTAGAATATTTCACCACAACTACTTGAGTTTTGCTAATAACAAGTATGTATAGACATAGCCTGAGTTTCCTCTCAGGAGAAACCTAGGCTAGTATAGTATAGGTTCTTCAATGTTATATTTCCACCGAATAAATCACAACTGAGCAAAAAGCCAACAAGGCTGACTAAGGTTGGAAAAAGGCATGCAAAGCAAGTGAGATTTTACCTGTACACCATTCAAAAAACTACAGGTTCTCACTTAGGTAATCTAGCTTGACTGGGATCAATTGCCTTGTTAGCTTCATGAATAATTGTAAAATATTCAATGAAAATACATGCCACCATACTTGAGATTTGAAGCATTTTCAAATTCTGCATTCAAACGTTACTTTTCAGACAAAATCAACAATATTTTCGACAAAAAATTTCTGCAAAGGTCATTATTGACATTGTTCTTGACATGGGTATACCGAGCATTTCTTTTTTTCAATTTTGAGGAAAAGTTATGACCCCATCACATAGTTAATACACTGACATGAGCCTGTATGAAATACCTAAATATCTGTCATTTGTCAAAGTCATTCTCATACATTTTCAAAGGTTGATCAGATTTTGTTTTGCAAATAGTAACAACCTAAATAGCGGACTGGTGTGTCTCTGAATATGTCACCGCCTTCCTTATTCCCGTCCATTTTTCTCGTGTGATATCACTCATCTGTTTCTAATGGAACTCTTTGTAGGCCTACATGGCTTGTGTACTCTCGCCTCAGCTCTAACCATGTGCACCGGAAGTTTACAACCGGAAGTTGGAACGCGTGATGACATTTGTAAACAAATACTTCTGACAGTCGAGCGTATGACGGTTATGTGAAATGATAGTGACGATTGATTCACATTGATTGTACTCTACAACAGCACTCCGACGACAGGTATTTGAAAAAAGACATTGCTGATATTATTGATTACTTTCTACAATTCTGAACATTCTGAACTATTCAAGAATAACCAGTTTTAAAGGCAACTTTCTACTTGTCAGGACCTGCTTGACACATCATCAGCTGACTCTAGATTCTCTCTCACTTCAGATACACTAGATCTCTAATACATCACCTTAAGTCAGAAGATAAAAAAACTATCAACTCTGACATATAATTGTACGGATAATTCTTCGTTCTTTTCAAAAAAAATGATAGAAATGACACATATGGATATTTTTCCTGCCATTGAATAAAATTTACTTCTTAATTGAGTAAGAAAAACACAGATCATTATAAAATTAGTTTCAGTCCCCTACATGTATGTATGATTATACTAAGACAGTCCATTAGATAACATTTTAGTCTCAGCACACAAGACAGTTGAAAAGAAATGCAATTGTTATGTAAGATACAGGCCGATATGTACAATTTAACACTTAACATTAATTAATATGCACAATATGATGATATAAACATTTTTTTAATGACCATTACATGAACGATTGATTCTTTTTCAATTATTTCTATATAGGGACACTTTTCTAAAAAAAAAGTGAATATATCATCATCATTTTATTTGAGTGCAACACAATTAAGAGGTTTAATACACAAGGACCTGAGAATCTATTTCAGCTTTGGACCTAAACAGAGCCTGCTTACAGAGGTGTTCAGAGTAACTTTACACATTTTATGGATTTATAGATCAAGTTTTAGTAAAAATTCCAACCCCATGATCTAACAAATTCTCAGGTCTCTGTGGTTTAATTTAGCAGAAAAGTGATAGGAATATGTTTTCTGGGAGCTGCGTTACTGATCCACTTCTGTTTTAGCTAGTATGACGGACCATGAGATGATGGAAACTCACAGCTGTGCAGCTTTCACTGTGGATTTTCAATCGCGACCAGAATCATCACGAGTCCCACAGCGGCTAATGAAATATAATGAAGATCTAAACCAGTCCAATAACAAGATTTCAAAACAAGAGTTGGACAGAAAACAGTCTGAAGCTGACCAGAGACGGAAAGTACGATCAATATACTTTATCATTTAATTAATGTCATATGTATGTCAGCAAGTTTTAAATGGTGTATTGTACCATATTTTTTTTTTGAATATCTTAACGATATTATTTATTTCATGGCTATCTTAATTAGCGGCACTTTAAAATAATCGATAACATGTACAATATATGTATCGTTTCTTAAGGTCTGTCCAAAATACATAGAACAAATTTGATAGCCCTTCATCCATCAAATACCATTTCCTGACCACTGTCAGTGTTAAATGAAATAATAAAATAGTATGCCATGAATGTAGTATATAATAGTCAGTAGATGATTTTCCATATTGTCTGTTTAAATATATCAATACAAATTTTCGCACGTCAAAAGATCAAATCTACTGGCACCCAGTCCATCAGGTCTGAGATTTTTCTTGTCATATTAGGTACATATTGCCTGTAGTGAGAATAGTTAACTTACAGAAGCTTATGTGAGTCTTTCCATTTCAGGACTATGAAAAAGCTAAACTCGACAGAATCCGAGAATGTAGTGAAGAATGTCACAAAATTGATACTAAAGTACAGGTTCTGCTGGCCCAGGATGCCAAACGTCAGGGTCTGCCTGGAACAGAGCACATTAAAGCTATGTCAACACGCCAGGCCCTGATGTCCATCAAGTCTCTGGCCAAAGATTTCTCTAAACTGACCCCTGGAATGGATTACAGTGACACTGTGATGTTGGATGATTCTTGATGATGATGTTTGAGAGTTAGTACTGAAAATTGCATTTAACTATTTGATAATTATGGAAAGTACTTTCACAGAATAACTATGATTCAGGAAATACAGTAGAACACCTGAAGTCATCCAGGTTTGTTATTATTGTTCATACATCATAAAAAGTCATGCTTGTTAGGACCAGTCATGAAAATGTACTTGTTAAGAACAACCACAAACTTACACTTGTGCATCGTTGGAAACCCACGTTCGATTGTACTAGCGTTTATCGATAAACGTCATTATAATTGAACATGGGTTTCCGATGATGCACTCATGGGACCAATCATAAATTGACTACTGATTAGATCATCCAGTTCAATTTTTGATAAAAAATATGAATATTATAGGGAACATATATATATCTTCAAGTTGTAAGTACACATATATATATGTTTGCCTTATTAGAGGTTGATTTAAAGTAAATTTGTGTTTGTACTGTACCATGATGTCGTGAGGTAAAAAGGCTTTCCAGTTTATTCAAGTGAATGGCCTCGCCCTTATTTCAGAATTACATGAATCAACAGTATTCACACATTTAAAAGAAGCAAAATGCCTTAACCCTTTCACCACTGTAGACCATAATGAACTCATCCACATCAGTGCATGGTAGAGTCTACTAAAGTTGCATAGGGGTGAAAGGGTTAAGTACATCACTATGTGAATACAGATGTTATCAGACCTTTTTGGTATTGTAGGAATCTTGCTGTGTCTATGCAATGTTACAAGTTTATTTATGTTACACCATGATATGTATTTATCTTGTACTACATCTAGCCGATGGTAGCTAGATATAGACCTCTTTATTTCTGTGATTGCTGTTTGATCAACACTTGCCAAATATTTGTTTTTGATGCACATTGCATGTAGGTCACACTCAGCTTTGCCTCTACTAATTGTGAGGCACGTGTTGTATTATAGAACCATAAGTGATTATTGATGTCCTTGATTGTAAGAAATATGTCACTTCTACTTTACATGTCACTGCTGGAATTTTTTTGTATCATCAGATTTTAAAACAAAACAAATTTTCGAGAATCTAGCAGGTTAAATTAAAACAAATAATTAATGATTTTGTTTTGTTTAAACTGTGCATTGTATATGGATGGATCTGTGCATGTATCTTATTATGTGTCCTCGTTCTCTTGCAACATGCTTTGATACCATTTAAATGCTCAAGAAAAACCTTGAGTTTTGTTTTCCAATGATGTCACTGTACGAATTTCACACTACATGTGTACTATTCTGACATTTTTACCCATTGTTATACATACAGCACTATGTTGTAATATTTGTCTGAGAAATAATATATCATCTTTCTAAATAATGAATAGACCTAATTGATATCTCGGCTGAAATTTCACATGACAAATAATATACTATCTCTTTTTAAAACACTTTGATTGGACAGAGATAAACTTTTTTTTGTACTTAAGGCATTTCAGCACATGAACATTCCACCCACTTTTATGAAAAACATACGGGTAATGTTAATTATTTATTTATTTATTTATTTAAATGTATTATAATAAACATTAATATACATTGTGGAATTATGTTTTCTGTCATATGTTTACAAGCCATATGTTATAATGATAATGACAATATAAACAGTCACTTAATAAAACACAAAAATGCAGAAGAAACATAAACATAGACTGTTGAACTTTGCCCTGCTGACAGCGAATTTATGATCCCCTTGCAATGAAAGTTCGAGGGGATATAGGATTCTGCCCGTTCGTACGTACACTCTTCGTCATTGCTCTAGCGACTTCATTTCTCATTGGAATTTCATGAAACTTCATAAAAGTGTTTGGTATGACAATATCTTGAACAATTTTTGCGTTTCGGGTTACTGCATTGAAGGTCAATGTCACTGTTACTATTTTTAGAAAAACTTGGTCATCACTCTAGCGACTTCATTGCTAAACGAAATTTCATGAAACTTCACAGAAATGTAAAGTATGACAATACCTTGAACAATTCTACGTTTCAAGTTACAGGGTTTAAGGTAAAGGTCACTGTTACTATTTGTAAAAAAAAAATTGTCATCACTCTAGCGACTTCATTCCTTAACGGAATTTTATTAAACTTGATACAAGTGTTTAGTATGGCAATGCCTTGAGCCTGTTTGAATATCAGATTTCTGCGATGAAGGTCAAGGTCACTGTCACTATTTTTAGCTCACCTGGCACGAAGTGCCAAGTGAGCTTATGCCGTGGCGCGTCGTCCGTCATCCGTCCGGCGTCCGTCCGTCCGGCGTCCGGCGTCAATATTTTACTTTAAACGACTTCTTCTTAATAACCGAAAGGCCTAGGGTGTCAATATTTGGCCAGAAGCAAACTTGGATGAAGGGCTACAAAGTTTGTTCAAATAAATGACCTTCACCTATTTTCAAGGTCACAGGGGTCAAATATGTCAAAAACTTTAAACATCTTCTTCTCAATAACCAAAATGCCCAGGGAGATGATATTTGG